CTGCCTATCACGTGCATGCGCACATACACACGAATTATGTCTACATATATCCATCTTGAATTGAGAGGTCACTGGTGAATTTTGTTGTAATCTCATATGTTTTCTATTTAATTTTTTTTTCCACAAGCTTTATTTCTAACAAGCACATTATTTATACATGAATAACGCAGTGTAGAATATTGTGCAAATGATATCAACTTCACACCAAATATTGCCTTGCATGGTGAAGTACTTTATACTTTTGTCTGTGCTTGTTCCTTTCCATAGAAGTAAAGTTGTATTCAACTACAAACTTTCGCACGGTCCAAGAAAGAGATATATTGGGAATTATTTGGAACATTAGACTCTGTGATATTGATTACAAAACATTAAAATCTCGTCTATTGTCCTCTAAGTTATATTTTTGAAGGATTGTGGCAAACAATGGATGTAAGAACTTAAAAAATTTGATCTTGACATAGAGCAGACTATACAGTTGTTAATGATTTGAGTTTTATGCTAAATCAAGATTATGTAGGATCAACTCCATAACTAGTTTAAGTGCTTGTTTCATATAGATTTTAAGCCAATTAAAATCAATTTTTTGACCGTTATTTTACTATTACAGCCGTCATTTTAAAATTCTTTTCTTACATGTAAGACTCACTTTATCTCTAACGGTCAAAAAATCAATTATTAAAATCCCTACCAAACAAGTACTAAATTAGCTCAAGTTCAACTTCTTGGGTATTTTTATGTTCCTAGATCATATCTACAAACTAATGATGTTGGTCAAACTCACTCAGTTTCAAGATTTTCAAATAATCAACTCAAACCCATACAAGAAAAGTACGTTTACGGTCTCAAATTCTTCATTCAAGTAACATTGTAATCATTCTCTACCAACAATTGGACATTTTGCTCAACTTTGTTACTTTTTTCAATTTAGAAGCCTGTAAGTATGATTTTCCACTATATTTGTCCTGTGACATATTTTTCCATTCTTAAACTATGTGCACCCCCAGAAGAAGCACCCACCAAAAAGGAAAACTAAAGAAAACAATATGAAATAAACAATGGTCAATTTTGTATCCTTCTTGTTTTAGACTTCGTCCATGTCTCCCCTTATGTATTTGCTTTTCTTTTGTTTCTTTGGTTTGACATTTGCCATGAGAAAATGAGACCAAATATTGTGGACTAAATAGCAATAGGAGATTTGCTCCACCACACATTCTGCCATGCATATTAGAATATACAAATTTAAACTAGCTTGCAGAAAACACGTTTGTCTATCTTCAACAAATTCATTCAAGTGCAGATCGAATTTAATTTTTTCGTAACACGACATAATTTCATTAATAGGTAATAAGAAGTTTTAATCAAAAACTGTCGCATCTAAAAACTTAATTCTTTAAAGAAAAGACACTAATTTTTTATTTTTTATTTTTAAAAACAAACGTGAACAAGTGTTAGAAGTAATGAGAGCATTTTTGACTATATACTCACAACATAGAAACAAGTGCTATGTCTAGTAAGATATGTCGAGCCTTTGGCCCTACAAAGGAATATTAATTAATTGAGATGGGATTTATTTTTTTAATCATATATCGTTTTAATGTTGTAAATTTGTTCTTAAACCATTGAACACAATATATTTATTAGAGTTCCATCTTTTGCTTCTCAAGAAAAGACACTAAGCAAAGTGCATGTGGGGGCAAAAGATTCAATGCCAACTTTGTGCAAGTTGTGTTTTAGTCGCTTAAGCTTTCAAATAGATGGTATCATCCATCAACACTAGTGGGGTTAGTGCAAAGATATCATCTTATCCATAACAT